CCCCCCCACCATGTCCCCCAGTCCCAGATACTCAAAGCTTCCCAAGGCCACTCACCCCCCGCTTGTCCCCCCTTCGCCACCTCCTCTTGGAGCCCCTCGGGGGGCTACAGCTGCATCCAGCGCCGTGGTGGTCAGGAGGGAGGGATGGAGCCCCCCCCCCAGCCCAGCCGGGGGGGGCCGGGCTCATCACCCAGCGGATCTGATTTCCTGACACTCCATTTTTACTTTCTGTGTTTCATGAATAAAATCAAACGAGTCAATTCCCTCTCGGGAATTGGATGCACATCAGGGACCCCCCCCACCCCCCCCTGCACCACCCGACCCCCCCAAGGCAAAGGCTCCCTCAACTTGTCTCTCCCTGGCGCGCTGCTCCCTGCGTGGGGAGGGGGAGACGTGTGCCCGCGTGTGGGGGTGGCTCGGCGTGACCCCCCCTCCCCGTGTCCATCCATTGCAGAGCATCTGTCGGTGCTGGAGCTGCTTCAAGACAAATGGGTTTGTTTTGATGAAATCCGGAGCAGGGCGCTGCCCTGGCCCCCCCAGCCCCCACCCCCTGCCCACGCAGGCGGCGGTGTTGAGGGGGGGCACGGGGGGCTCAAAGCCGGGGGACACGGACATGGCCTGGAACGTGGGGTGGGCAGGAGGGTGCAGGAGCCTCCTGCACGGCAATAACCCCAGGAGATCCCTGAGCCTCGACCCCTCTGCGGTCCAGGACTCTCCCCCCTCCCAGGACTCCGGGAGGGGCTGGGGTCTGCCCAGCCGTGGGACCACCGGGTGCCAGGGCAGGGTAATGGAGCCATTCCTGCCCCTCGGCTCTTTGGGCCTGATGGGGAGAAACTTTCCCGGTCTCTTTTGGGGATCAGGAGGCAGATGGATGGGTGGGGGTCCCATCGCCTTCCCCCCGGCTCCAGCGGACCCCTTGGACTGGGGCTCCCAGTGCCGCATCAGGGCTGTACTGGGAGCACTGGGGGAAGGGCCAGCTGGGGCTGCACCCCCAGGGCAGCAGTGACAGCCTCGTCCCCGTGCAGGAGCGAGGGACCCCCGGCGTGTGGGACCCCCAGGGTGTTCCCCCCCGTGTGTGGGTTTGCTGTCGGTGCCTGCTGGGTGACACTGGTGCGTTGGGATCGAGCCGTTGGGATGGACAAACTCTCCCAGTCCAGCGGGTGCCTGTTCCCACTGTGGGGGTGCAGACCACCCCTCCCCGGCCCCCCACCCTTGGTGGCTGCTGCTTCCCGGGCTTTGCTGTGCTGGCAGTGCTGGCACAGGCAGGAGGACGAGCCCACCTCTGATTGCAATCGACACCCCCCTCCCCAGCCCTTCCCAAGCTCCTGCGTTATTTTTATGCATTCCATTATTTTCTGTTCACTGAGCATTAAATCTTGGGGGTCCCTCCGGGTGGGGCTAACCTGGCTCCCCGCTGCTGAGGGTCCCAGCCAGTCCCCCAGGAGCACCCAGGAGCCTCGGCTGGGCCCAGCCGGGTGGAGGAAGGGCGATTCTCTCGGCATCCCCTGGGGTTCCTGGGAGGCAGATGCCACCCTGGGCACTGGGTGCCCCATGCCCTGGTGATGGGGTGACCCCCCCCGGTTCTGAGCGAGGTTCAGCAGCGGAGGGGATGGGTGATGCTGGCCCTGGATTGGGCAGGAACAGGCTGGAACAGGCAGGAACACCGCGATGAAGCCACGATGGGATGGTTGAGTGCCACAGCAGGACCAGGACGGGGACAGTGGTGTCCTTCCTCACCCTGCTCCGTCCCTGCTGCCCTCGCCAGAATGTGCCCCCCACCCCCCATTCCCTGCGCCCGTGCCTCGGTTTCCCTCCTTTCTGGCACAGGCAGGTGAGACAGCGGCTGTCTGTGAAGCACCTGAGTGCTGCTGGCAGGTTTTCCTGCTTGGATTAACCCTTCGCAGGAAATTCTGCCTTGCTCTGCCGGTGGCCATGCCAGCCGGAGCCCGATGGCCCGGGATGCCAAACTCATCCACTTTGTCCCTTCCTCGCCTTGCTGTCACCCGGGAGCTGTCTCCTGGGCTGCTGGCTGACAGATGGCTTTGCTCTTAGCAGATGCTGCCAGCCCTTTCCATGCAAGGACACCCCAGTTCCCACCTTCCCAGCTCCCGTTTTTAGGGGGGGTTTACCCGGTTCGCGGCTCGGAGGTTTGCATCACATTTGGGGCCAGAGCAGAGGATATGGGGTTCGGGTGGTGCTGCTGCCCTGCAGCCCCATCTGCCCGGGGGTCCCTGGGGGTGCTCCAGGGCCTGGCTGCAGCGGGTCGGAGCCGGGCCGGTGCCCGCGGGGCCGGGATGGGCTCCGTGCATCCCCCGGTGCCGCTCCTGCGGCTCCCTGAGCCTCTCGCCGTTGCGGCGGGTGCTGTGTGCTCAGCATGGCTGAGCTAATCTATCGCCAAACAAACACACACTGTTATTCCGAAAGAAGGTTTCCAAGCGACTCATTTCCCTTTTTTTAATAACTCTTCCCTCTGGTGCCCTTTGCACCCTAAGCTGGGAGATTCAATAAGGCTGGAGCCTGGAGCGTTGCTGGCGCAGCCTCACCGAGGAGGGGAGCAGTGGCTGGGGAAGGGGGGGGCACCCAGGGGTGCCCCCCAGCCAGACCCACCCACCCTTGCGCTTCTCGGTGCCGTTCTGGCTCCAAGCCGGGTCCGGTTTTATTGCTTTTTCCCCTCACTCCCGTTTTTAATTGCCAGTTTTCCGCTGGGGACCGGCAGAGGGGGCCGAGCCGGAATGGGGAGCAAGGCGGGCGCTCTCCCCTGCAGCCCCCAGCTGAGCCCCCACCGCTAATCACACTCTTGCCAATTAACGCTCCCGGATTAATGACTTTGCCCACCCTTTCTGCATCCACAGCTCCTCCTCTCAGGGAGCCAAGGTCCCCGCAGCCGGTGGCCCAATCGTGGGGTGACGCCGCGCTGAGACCCCGCAGCTGGAGCCCCCCCAGCCCTGCCCTGGCCGAGCTCCAGCCTCGCCGCGGTGCCTGGCTCAGCCTTCGCGCTCGGGCGCTGGAGGTAAATGGCCCAGGAAAGATGAAGCTTCCTCTCCTGCCGCTTGGATTGCTGCTGAAGGAATAATCACATCCCCGTGCCCCCCCCCCGCCTTCAGCCCCCACCCGGTTTTTTTTTTCCCTGTTGCAAAAGGAAAGTCATTGTGGAGGAACAGAGCAGGGACGCGAATCAATCCCAAATCAGTTCCCAACGCACCCCGCTGTGCACGGATCCCGTGTGACCCCCGTGACCGTCCCAGCTGCTGGGCCGATGTCACAGTGGGGGGGGACACCCTCTCATTGTCCCCCTCTGGTGCAGGGCAGCAGAGCCTCCGTCTGCAGCGGGCAGAGCAGAGCTTCACCCGGCACCCGCCCGAGAGAGGCCGGAGCCTGGGCTGGTGGTGGGTGAAAAGTGGGGCTGAATCCAGCCCTGGGGGGCACGAGGAGGGTCCCAGGGGACCCTGGGCTGCAGGGACACGCTGTTCCCTGCTCCTGACAGGAGCCAGTGCCTGGCTGCGGTGGGTCGTGGTCCTTGTGACCCCAAAGGAGCTGCGGTCCCAGCGATGCCCTTGAGGGTCCCCAGCGTCCCTGGGGGTCTCTTGGAGGGTTTCAATCAAAGTCCACCGCCGGGGGGTGTGGGGGACACCGTGTCTTTGCTGCTGCCTCCCACTTCCTGGGGGGCACAGATCTCATCTGGTGCTGGGAGTGTCGGGGGGAGATGTGCAGTGTGGGGGCTCCAGGGATGGGGTCCCACCGAGGGCACAGCCCGGCATTTACCCCCTCTCTGGTGACCTTCTCACTGGCCCTGTCTCATCCAGAGGGGTGGGGGGGTGCTGGGAATGCGATTTATGATCCCGCCTGAT